CTGGGGGTGAGCTGTAACAGCAGTAATGCTAATCACTTACTATCCAGAACCCCATTATTTCCAAAGTTCTGAGACAAATAAGTTTATATTTAACATGCCATTACTTTCAGATAAATCTTAACCTGAAATACCCTGACATGTTTACAAAGTCATGCATTTCTTATCCTTTCTTTCAAGCTGACACCTAATTCCTACGTGGAGGGTGGGAACACGTTGTTACTCCTTCGAAGTTTTAAACTAATTTTTACAAATATCCAAGTGCATCGGCATTAAAACGTCAGCCCCTGAAAGACAATGTCACCGCCTCATTCTACATGTATGCCATGAAGCCACACATATCTCTAATTTAAAAGTGATAAGGTAAAATCGGAGGAAGGGACATTGATTTAATATCCACTACGTGCCTGGAAATTTGAATTCTGAAAGGTAGGTGATAAAATATTTCAATCCTAAACAATGGCAGCATTTGAAAAGTGTCATCTTAAATAAATGAAGATTCTGGACTTCACATACAGATTGCTCAGGTGGAGAGGGGGGTAAACATCCTAGGCAGAGACTGAGAAGACGTAAAAGTGAATGTGCACTTAGGCGAAATGAAGTACTGCCGATGTGGAGTCTCCAATGACCTTCCTCTACCATCTGCTTGGTGCGCAGGCTAAAATCACAGGAAAAACGCAAAATGGAGAAGCTCTGCCACTTAACAACACTGTCAAGAAATCATTAGAACTACTTTACTACCGGGCTCAGAATACTGAAAAATATTAATAACACTTTAGACAGTGTAAAACTTTGAGTTTTTTTTAAATATAGAAGATCCTCTAACATTTCAAAAGAAGTCACCTACGTGCTAAACCAGTAGTGATAATAAACTAAGCAACGGTAACGTATGGTGGCTATGATTCTCAGAAAACACATAACCAATTTCGAAAAATATATGAAAGTCTTTGAATGAAACACCACAGAGGGCACTGAATGGCAACATTGAGAGACAAGCAAAATCCCCTAAGGGCACAGAAATAATAAACATGTGCCTCGTTTCAAATGTTTAGAATCCAGTGGGAAAAGACAACTTACTATAAAACGGAATGAATGACTGTTAAACACCACCAAGTATTGCGGAAACAGTAAAAACGTTTGTTTCTTTGAGGTGTTGGAGCTGGTATGCACAGAGGAGGTAGCATGTGAACTAACTCTTGAGGAAAAAGGGAAGATTTTTTCAGGGTCAGTTAACAATGGGAGAGATACACAGGTACAGAGAACTGACTATGTCTTTCATATTACATGAGGTATAAAGGAGTCTATCTGATCAGAATTTAATATGTGTGGATGGTTAAAGAGAGACAGCCCTAGAAAGAACGGATCCTGAAAGGGTCTGACAAAAATCATTCAGAAGGGACAAGCTGGGGTATAAACTAGTCAGTAGTGTTTAAAAAAAAAAAAGGAAGAAGATAAAAATACTGTAGAACTTTAAAGAACAGGGATTAGAGGCAGACGATAGAGTAGAAAAATCTCTAGATTTAGAATTAAATAGATTTGGACTAGAATTTCAGTTCTATCAGTTACTAACAATGAGGCTTTTCTCAACTGCCATTTCTATATTTGTCAAATGGGGACAAAATGTCATTGCAGTAAAGCTTTGACAGGATAGCAAATGTAACTTGTCCAGTGTATTGTCATGCAATCTCTTTCTTATAGTAAAGAGTAGAGTGTGGAAGATGACAGCGAAGAAGTCAAGATCTGTAGCCTCAGTGACGGGGAAGATAAAGCCATTCACTAAAGAAGAAATGTAAGAGAATATTTAAAAAGCAGACCTGGAGAACAGAAAAATAGTTTACTCGCCAAATCTGTGACAGTGGGATATATATCTGCATGCAAAGGTATCAGAAGGCACAAAAAATTGAGGTCTTAAATTCAGAAGACAATTCTAATAGAAACACAATTTTAGGAATCTCTGGCACACAGAGGAAAGCAAAGAACAAGTGAGCCAAGAACAGGAGGTCACAAGGAGCCACGGATGGAACCAAGTCAAGGATGGTAAGAGGAAAAAGTTTCAAAAATAAAAGGCAGCCAGCGGTATTCAGCAGTGAATTGAAGCGCTGGACTTGGCGATTAAGGAGATCTCCGACAAACTTTAAAAGCAGTTTTAGCAACATCGTGAAGACACCAAACTGCGAGCGCTGACGGAATAAATGGGTGATAAAGAAATCAGTGAAAAGTCGGAATCTGTTCCGGGGTCCCCACATGGGCAAGCCACAGGCACGGTAATGGAGACCAGACGGGCATTGTCGATATTTCAAACAGCCATGTAAAGACCAAATTTAGTCTTCGCCAAGCTACAAAAAACTAAGGGAAAAATTTAAGTTTCTTTGATTCTCTAATCAGCACACTATATATTTTTTAGAATGAAAGCATGAACCACTGTTTTACAAATGTCCCATGTACGGTACACAGGCCCTTTCATATCATGAGATTCCTGGTAGAAAATACATTCGAAGATTATCAAGCACTAACAGGTTGAGAAGCATGCGTTCTTGAAAGAAATCCAGCACTTAAGAAAATAACTGCAGTTATTACTGAATCAAGCAGAGAAAGATTTTCTTGTTGTTGTTTTAAGGTTTTCATTTGTTGTTTGGTTGGTTTTCTTTTGTTTTCAGAAGTGGAAAAACTCTGAAAGGCATTAGGTAAAGATTAAGAAATCAATGTCAAGAAATGTTCAAAGTTCCAAAAGAAAGGTGGTTAAATGTCACTGAGAAAGAGATGAAACACGAGGAGAAAAGCCTGACCTTACAAAGACTGCAGAGTTATGCCTAAGTCACCGTCCACGTCTGGAAACTATGCCTGCATCCTCATCCTCAGAAAAGTCGCCCGACAGAAGTCTGGTTAACCAGTTAGACAATTAAACCGATTAAAGATCTAGTACAACTAGAGCTGTATCACGCAGAAGTCTGACAGAAATGGCTTCAAATTTCTGCTCTTCTAACTGCTGCTTAACTTTAACGTTACTCGGCGTCTCTGAAGATGCTTCTCCATTTACAATGACATTTGTCCCATAAGCTATGAGGAGACTGAAAGAGACAACACATGTAAGGAGCTCAGCACAGTGCCTGGCACAAAGTAACCATTTAAGAAACACAGCTATAATTACTAAAATAAAATAGAAATGTTTCTTTGCCCTCAGGATTGAGAAAACTTAAGTTTTAAAGGAAAGGAAACAAATGAAATAGGAAAGATTAACGTATCCAGCTACACAATCTTTTAAATTTTTTATGCGAAAATTATACAGTATTAAGAAGCGTGCATCATACAAAACCCCAATAGGAAAAAAAAAAAAATGCACTGTCTACTCTTTGCTCTGCATAAACACCAAGTACCCTATTTAGGAATCCACAGGGATGGTGATGGAGAACAGACGAGAATTTCAACACTTCAACACGTGACTGACAGTGTGAGGTATTATCACCCCTCCAATATGAGACCAGGCTAGTAAGGCATTCCCTGCGCCCTTAAAGGAAAGAACTATCTGAAGCATAAAATAATATTTGAAATATGAGATTCAGATAACACCGATCTTTCTCACATGGAATGCAAACCTATTACTAGCTATTTTAATTCATTAAAGATTCATTCTGGCAGACATTCTTAAAAATAATTCTTATAATAATTTTTCAAGCTGCGCTAAAAAGGCATTTTTGGAAAACTGCATAAATAAGGGGGGCAGCTGCGGGGAGGCCAAGTGGCTGTGCGTCCGCAGGTGTCGGCGTCTCACTGCATAACACGCTCACAGTTCTAGTTCCACCTGTATCTACTCTCATGTAGCTGGGGTCTCCTTAGTTATCTTCAGACCTTCTTTTCAAAACTGAAAGATGATTCTAACAATCCACACCAAATCTGTCTCCTGATCTCAGACAAAAATTCAGTAAACCATATTGCTATTCAGCATCGCCATATCCAAAACTCTACACTGACATTTTAAGTATATGATTATGTCCCCTCCTCCCACAAACACCCCAGTTTTTCCTTATCTTTATATTTACTAGCAAAATTTCAGTTGGGGCAAATACCACATTTTGCAATATTCAGAATAACTTCTTCATTTCTGTGCCCAAGGCAATATGGGTATTGCTATGGTATTAATACTGAATAGCACAAAAGATTGTGGAACCTCTTTATAAAAAAAGGCTGGTGACAAAAATAAAACCAAGTTGTTAACTTTGTTTTAGCTTTTCTGTGTGTGGTATATGTGGGATTACAGACTTTTGGCTAGCAATGTATTAAAAATACCAACTTACTCAGAACGTAAGGGAGGAAAAGATATTCTGCTTCTAGCTAAACTGAAATTTTGATTAAGAGATCAATATCATACAATTGCCAATTTTTTAAAATGAGATTATAACACAAATTGAAATTGAATGTAATTCGATTATTTTATAGGTACTTCAGAACCTTGTACAAAAGCTAGCCTTTGAGTTATAAAAATTCATTTTCATTACTCAGCAATGATAAGGCAGAGCCAGAGACTAAAATGTATCTGTAAGAACTCTATGACAATATACTATCGAAGATGGTTTTAGAGCAAATACTCAAGAAGTTTGTTCACATACAATTTTTATTTCCTAGTAAAAGTGTACAAAAAGACAACATATGGAGCTTCCCGTTGTTCAGAACCCAAATAAGTAAAATTAATAAGTTTTATAATATGATTTTTGAATGCAGTAGCCTGAGTAACTGAGTATTAAAAATAACTGAACTGTTAACATGATCCAAAAGGGAAAAACCAAATTTAATAAAAGAATAGGGAAAGGACAATCAGAGAAAGCTCAAATTCACCCAACAAAATCATTTAGTTGGTTAATGGGCCACTAACCTCACTTTGATTGAAAAAATACAGACATCCCCTAAGTAGATCACCTAAGCCATCCAATCTCACACCCACCACCCGCAGACACAGGAAGCAGCCAAGATATTCACTTTCAAAAAATGTCTAAGAAAATTATTTTTACCTGTAAATTGTTTTCTGTGACTCTGTTCCACCAAACCATATTGATGGGTACTCCTGATTTACACCTGTCAGCAAGGCAGCCAATAGGGTTCTTTGCTTTTCGTGCCTTTGATCCCATCGGAACTAGCCTCTCCTCCAGCATCCCCAGGCGGTACTTCCTTGGCTAGGAAAAAGAAGGAAAGAAACCAGGCCACTCCTAACATCCCCCACACTAATCTAAACTAACACAGCTAACACAGAGAAGGTATCAGGAATGGTGGAATAGGAAACAAGTAAAATGTCTAAGAACTTCCTCTAATGTCCTTATCGCCACCCACCATTGCCCACCCCCGCCCCCAACACACACCTCCAAAATGACCCACGTCCTAACAGACTGAACAATATTACATAAAGCAACAGATGTGTTAGAGAAATACATTATGATCCGATTTGATAAGACTTTAATGAACAGAAATTAACTTATCAGCAAAGTAAATGCTTTGCATTACACTGGCACTTACCTATTCTCACTGCAATATGAAGAAATGGCTTCAAGGGCACAAAACACAGGTAAAAAATTCTACATATTTTTCTATATTAAAAAAAAAAAACTATATATTTTTCCGTTCCCCATCTCACTACCTTATTTCCTACTGAGAACCACCCCCATTTAAATTAATAAGCTAAGTCCTAAAGAGTGGATTTTAAAAATATTTTTTAATTCTAAGCACATTAGACCAGAGTACACATCATTCTATCTGAAGTGAGCACTAAACTTAAGGTATTCAATGAAAAGAAACAATCTCAGATTAAAAATACATATATGTACAAAAACTTCACTGGTCTTATAAATCACAGTAATTTGAACAGATTGATACTAAGTAAATTATGCAATAAAAGTACGATCTCACTGGCTATTATCGTAATAAAGTTAATAAACAGTCTTAGTGGTTGGCAGGCTTTATTATATAGAAAAATTAATGATAGTTTCCACCATCTTACTTCTCTTAATGGTAGCAAATTTACCCTAAATTGCATCTTAAAGGGAATTTGTATATATTGTTTTCTCTAATTTAAGACTTGAAATAAGAAAATCTACGTCTACTTGTTGCTCTGTCATTAGACCAGTGAAGCAAATAACTTTCTTTAAAAAAGGTGTCATAGCGAGACAAATACAAAAAAGATATAAAAAATAATTTTTTCCAGTATAAAGACAACCAATTTGAAAAAAACATTTGATTTCCAAATTCCAAAACAACCTTGTAAATTATTCTATGAGATTTAGATTCCCCACTCCACAAATGGGCCTCTGCTACGTTGTCTTTAAGGAAGGGGAAAAAAAGATTAAAATTGCATAAGAAAAGCTATGAGACTGCCCACACACCCAATAATTATGCAGTGGACAAAGTTTCATAGGGCTAAAATAGTTCCATCTCTATGCAATCGTGGACCGATTCAATTACCCTCTATGTCTACATCATGAGCAACTTTTGTAGACGAGAAAAAAAATATACCCTTTGGAACATCTGCTAGTGGCCTAGCTCACAACTATAAGGACTATACAGCAAAACTAATATAACCTTATCTAAATTTTCACTAATTTAAAAATTTATATTTTAGAAAACATGAGCTAAAAATTATCCTATCAAAAAAGTTCAACAATTCAAAAAATATTTATTTAAACAAACTCACAGCCTATCAGATAAGTAAGACATATACAAGCACAGCAATATTCTAGTCATTTATTTGAAAGCAAGAAAATGAATACTTTAAATGTTCTTGTTATGCAGATCCTTCACAAATTTAGACTTGCTTTTGACCCTGTTACTACAATTAGTGCATTTTCTTATAGTAGTGGATTAAGAAACATAGAAAAAAGGTTTTTACATAAATCCAATGTATCATTCTCCCTCCCCATTATGTTTTTTGTTTTTCCGAAGAGAAATTCATCATACCTCTTCCTCCACCCCATCCTCCACCCCCACCCCAAAACCTGTAATTAATTAGCCTAAGGCTTTTCCTTTAGGGTAAGAAGAGATCCCCAGGCATGTGCCGTTATAGACTTAAATTTCCTAAACATGTAGTCACGAGATTAAAGTCTAATCCAAACGTAAAACCTATGTGACACTGAATAATCAGACATAAGTTATCAACACCACTTAAAATACCGTTATAAGCAACAGAAGACAAAATGACATCTGAAGAGAGCAGCAACATAAAGCATAATAGTGAGGCAAAAAGAAGTCTCACTGCATATAAAGTAATTTATAGTAAAATCTCATCTGTAAACTAATTTCCAAATTATTTGAACTATTATTTATTCCTTGAAGAAAAAAATGTATTTTCATTTTTATTATTTATTCCTTGAAGAAAATATTATTTATTCCTTGAAGAAACTATTATTTATTCCTTGAAGAAAAAAAATGTATTTTCAACTAAACATCTGAGAGCCTACTTTGTATCAGAAACTGTTCTAGGTACTTGGAATACCATGATGAAAAACACACACACCTTTCTCCCAAAAAGAGGATACAATCTAGGCGGTAACAAAGCCATACGAAGTCACTGTGCCATACGAAGTCACTGTGATGTAATGAATGCATATATAATCAAGGTACAATGGGACAGAGACAAGGAAGGCTTCACAGAGCAGGTGAACGGCAGAGCAGTTCTGGAGGAGGAGTCAGTGTGCCTAGACAGACAGACAGACACTAGGGAAAATGTGTGCACAGCGGCAAACAGCACCATGGTGGCATGGAAAGCACAGGCACATGTCAGCAGGGGGCCGAGCACGAGGGACGAGCCATGAGCGGTGAGGACCATGGACCCTTCTGTCTCCTGTGGCAAGGAGGCTGGCGTCATGCCGCGGGCACCGGGGGACGCTTGCAAACTTAAGGATGAGAATGAGGCTGGAGACAGGTGGACAAAGGAGCGGACTCAGGCGGTAAGTCAGGTTAGAGCTTCTCAAGCTCAGCGACAGAGCATCCGGACTCCCTCTGGGACAGGGGCGGCCCTGGGCACTGTCCAGCGTCCAGCAGCCCCTCCACCCGACCCACGAGGTGCCAGTATCTCCAGAAGTATCTCCCACGTCCTGTGGAGGAGGGACCAACGCTGCCCCATTTGGGAATCCCAGGTCCAGGCGAAGGACGCGAACTTAGGGAAATCGCGACGGGAACAGAGCCATGGCCCCGCCGGGAAGGTCTGCGGGGCTAAAAGCAACTCCCGGTGACTGACTGCAGGTGGCGCCTCACGGAAATGGAGAGGAGGAAAGGAGGAAAAAGTGGGCAAACACACTTTTTTACAGGAAACGTTTACTCCTAAAGTTGTTCCTCAAAGCCTTCTGAGTTCTGTAGGGTCCAAACCCCTCCTCCAGAGCTGACAAAAGCAACCACCCTCACTCCTGTCCCTCAGCTTCCAGAAACCCCTTCCTAGGCCAGTCCTGGGAATGTGAAGGTCAAAGGCAAGTTCCCTTGCTGATCCCGCACTCCTCAGCGCTGCCAGGCCCGCCTGCCGCTTACCACGACTACAGAACGGAATGAGAGCACTTTAAGATGCCACTTCCTACTGGCGAACAGCCAGCTCTCCTGCTCAATACTGCACATCGAAACTGCCAGTCTCCTGTTCCTACGAGACAGCATCCAGCAGAGCCTGTAACGGCGTGTGTCCCCCTTTGCCTCTCTCCCCTTTTCTCTAATAGACACGATTTTTACTGAGACTCAAGAGTCACCACAAGTGACTGATTTTTATCATTCTTCCCAAAATCTAAATAAACAACACAATAAGAGAGTAGTTGATAATAGCTCTACACACTTTTTATTGGGCATTTAAAAAAAACCTTAGAGCTTGAACAAAAGTTTTCAAGGCTAAGAAATGGTTTAATAACGTATTCCAGATCAGCGCCACTCCAACTGTAACAAACACATGAGCCATCTGGGGGTCTTGCCAAAATAAAGACTCTAACCCAGTAGGCCTGGGATTCTGCGTTTCCTAAAAGCTCTCCAGACTGCCGGTGCTGCTGGGCTGAGGACCACTCTCTCAGTGGTGAAGTTCTAGAGAAGGCCAGAGAGAAGACCTGGATAAGAATCCAGGCACAAATAGCAACTGGGGTCACCCCCAAGATAGAAAGGAATAGGGGTTCTACAGTTCAATAGCACAACTCCTTAAAGCTCGACCAAGACACTCAGAGCCGAAGACCATTCCTCGCAGCCCCCAAAGCTCGGGCTCTGCCAAAGTCCTCGCCCTAGCCCACAACAGCTCCTTCCGCCGTGCACGGCTAAGGGGTCCACCCTCTCTCCTGACAGCTGGGTAAGTCTCTACGCCTAAGACCAGTGAAAGCTAATTTGGGGGCTGTTTCAGCTCTATACACACATTTATTTTTCATTCATTGACTCGACATGTCAGCATAAGGCTCTTTGCCCTGCCTAGAAAAATAAGCTCTATTCCCTTTCCCTAAAAAGTTCACAGTCTAGAAAAATCTATAAATACCACTGCTTGTATAGAAAATGTCGTTAAAGCTACCAAGCAACAGACCAATTTTCAACACACAATTTTTTTGGTAAAACTGCAAAATAGCACCATTTCCACAACGCTTCACATCACCGACCGCACGTTACTGTGTGTCACAGTCTCATTATCAGGAGTAAACTGGAGAGATCAAATTGTTATCCTATGACAGAAAGTTTCCGAAGCCCTGAATTTTAAGACCCCTATTTAAACATCAAAAACATATAACTGTGTTTTCGCTCTTTGTACTCTGAAACAATGAATGATGATTTAAAGTTACCATGAATACCACTTTAATATAATTTGCATTTATTAATCAAAACATCTTCACATACCGGGAAAATAGCAGGACACGTGTATGAAATATTATCCCCCTCAGACGATGCTTAACAAACGAATTCATTCATTCATTACCTTTCGCAGGGACAGCTCAGCGGCCTACCTCTTGCCACTGCTGAGGGTCCACGAGTAGAAAACCTCTAGCCTAGAATTTGTGATATATTTTTTTGAAAATAAACCTGCATTTCTTTTACAACCTCTCCTGGCTGACAATAGTCTTCTCTCGATTAATTAAATATCCAGATACGTTAGCATATTTGTAATGATGAGTATTAAATATAAGATTATAATTTCATTAACTATCAGTGGTTAATGTAAACCCACTGAGAACAAATAGACCCC